AAGACAAAGAACTATGGAACTTTCATTAAGCAAAAACAAAAGAAATGGAAAATTACAAGAAATGAACAAGAAAAGGTATCCTCAACACTTTTAACTTTTACCTTAATATACAATTTTTCTTCATCATTCTTAAAAAGCATCACAAAAATGGTGGGAAAAAAAAATTACACTCTATATGAATAATGTGTTCTATCAAACTGTCATCTGTTTAGATGTTTGAATGGCTTCTAATCGCTAGGCCGCTTGTTCACGAGTACGTGAGGACCAACACGAACTCAAAGCTCGAAGGCGTTGCATATAATCGCCAAGAGCCAGTAAGCCTCGAGCCGCCTGTTGAGGGCTCAAAATTCGACAAATCTGCTGTAGGGTTTCTTGCCTAAGATGATCAGCCTGTTTCATAAAAAGAATAATGTCCCTTATCTTAATCACATAAAAAAAGGACTAATCTCCTGCTAGAGTAATTTAGAAAGAAGTGCAATTTTAGTTTTGTATGTTTTGCTATCCAAACTTTTTGCGTTACGTTTGCAAAAAGTTTACAAAAAGGTCCCATTCGAATTTGCAGAAAAAGGGTTGCAATTTCGCCTCCTTCGAACCGTCTTGTAATATTTTTGCAAATATAAGGGATTATCAAAACAATAATTGGAGGAGGGACAAAAAAATTAAGATAGTGAAACATAAATGACTAAAATTGCAAACAAAAACGTTCGAATTTGCAAAAAATGTTGCAATTTCGTACCGTTTTGTAAACTTTTTGCAAATATAAGGGTCGGAAATCAAAACAACAATTGAAAGGGAACAAAAAAGTTAGGGTAATGAAATATACAGAACTAAAAATGCAATTTTCTCTTTCTTTAAAACAAAAAAGATAGTTAATTTACCTGAACCACAAATCGGACGAGAGCTTCCAACTTATCAATGGTGGCTCCAATCTGATGGAGGTAGTTCGTTTCGACAAGTGAGCCCTCGGCTATAGTTTCGGTTAGAATACGGTGCAGTTTCTCCATACCCTGCGACAAGGCATCCTCAGCTTGTTGACACGATTGTCTGAGATTGCTAATTTCCATGCATTGTGGCTCTTGCAATGGTTCGAGATGTGGCCAAATAACCTTTACACGAACATGAACACGATAAATTCACACTATATTACGATTTACTACTCATAAAATAAGAAATAATTATACCAATTAAAAAAAAAAAACCTTTAAAAGTTCCGAAGGGCGAAAGCCTCCAATCCATAGAAAAAAGCGTTCGGCCGATGTTTTCCATAAGCCAGACATGATGTAAAATGCATCGGCTTTAGCGGCTTTGCCTTTCATTGCAAAGAGATTCGTATAATGCATCATTACACTATCAACTAATCTACATAGCTCTTCGTCTTTGGTTTCGGACTGCAGAGCATTTTTCAGTTGTGAGATTTGTCGATTTTGTTCTTCGATCCATTGCGCATATTCCCTCTCGAACGCAGCAATATCTGACCAATATGTCCAAAATGGCACGAAAACAACTTTAAATGTTCGATCAAGAAAACGTTTCGGTTTGAAAAGAAAATGGCGTTAATGTAAACTATGCAAAAACCTGGGTGTATACTTCCACCAAGCTGACCAATATCTGCACCACTGCCTACAGAAACACCCTACAAAAAGCAAAAATTTGATTTACATTTTGTGCTTTAGATCATTTTTCACAACTGGTAACTTTTTTTTACCTGTTGTCTAGCCCTTTGCAGTTCTTGTTCTACCTGAATAAGTCTCATCTTACTCTTCTCTAACTGCTGAACATATGCCTACAAAAACCCCCGATTTTTAAATAATCCGAATATCCGAAAATCATTTGTTTAATACGTAAAGACGATTAAATTATTGGGAAATGCTACGGCTCGTTACAGAACCATTCCGTCAGGATTTGTAACTATTAGATCATCATGTAACCAAACCGTCGGGATAGTTGATCCAACAGTTACAAACCCCGCCGGAATGGTTCTGTAACGTGACCGTTGCTCTCCCTAAATTTTTACCGCACCTTTTTTCGCAAGCGACTTTTACGAGCAGCCTCACGATTCTGTGCTAAGCGCCTTCGTATCTAATAACCCGAAAAACTCAAAGTTTAATCACAGTTTATCTTATGATGATCTAATGAACTTGTTACAGAACAATGCCTTTGCATATATATACATTTTACCTTATCGTCCGGTTTACTTGTTTCTTGATCATATCGATTCGAAGGTCCTACAGTTCCATGAGAAGTATCCTCTGACTATAAACTCATAAAGACAAAACAAATAATCAGTTCACACAAGTCATTTGCCTAAAATTTACAACAACAGACCCGCCAAGTTTCGCGTAATTACGAAGTCGTACCTGATTATCCAAGTTAGTGTCGACTTCTAGCATCGAAAACGGAGACGGGTCGAGCAAGTTTTTGTGGTTGAAGTCTCCCCAAATGACCATCTCGTGAACCGGCTCGTATAAGCCCATTCGTCTCGAAGGCACAAACTGTGAAGACGTCGTCGAATTCATTCTTATTTCTTTCACTATCTTGCGCTGAACGAAACAGAATCGGTCGATCGAACACGAAGAAAAAAAGAAAAAAAGAAAAAAAAAAAGAAGCAATCTTTAGCTAATTTGCTGAAGGAAGTGCAGAAGGTAGAGAATCAAGATTCAGATTTTTGGAACCAATAAAAAATAAGCATGAAGAGATCATTATTATTTATATATGAGTGCTAATGGAAATTATATGAACAATCATTTGTTATAAAGGTCAAAACTTTAACAAATCATGTTTATTTATATTATACATCTTTAAAAAAAATTAAAAAAAAAATAAAATAAAAAAAAGGGCAGTGATTTTTCTTTCATGATAACAGAGGAGCAAAATATATATATAAAAATATGGATTTAAAAGACCAACAAAAATAAGGTCAACATAACCCAGCTAAAAGACAAAGGTTTATTTTATTTTTTTTTAATTTCATTTTTTTTTTTTCCCATTAAAAATTTACAGCCAAGCACACACATGTTTTTCAATACGTGTGGGTTTTAATCAAAGATCAAAACAAGGGAAAAAAATATATATTTTATTTTTATGAAAAAATAGTTGTGCCGCACAAACAAAAGAAAATAATAATAATAATAATAATTAAAAAAAAACAGGTCACAGATTGACTAATTTAACACAGCCGAACACGAGGAATATAAATCAATTAATACGAGAAACCAAACGGGATTCTCCTAACCAAACATATATTCACAATCCAAATAGTACAAAACAATATAAAAAAAATAAAAATAATAATAATAATAAGGAAAAAAAAAATGAAATGAAATGAAATAAAATAAAGTAAACCTTTTATGTTGTGACAAACTATGAAAAGCCCACTTTGAGAAACAAGCTTCAATGGCTTAATTAAATTGGCAGCCCTCCAAAAGAACAACAAATTACAGCAGCTTAGCTATGGCGAAGAAGAAGAAGAAGAAGAAGAAGAAGAAGAAGAAGAAGAAGAAGAAGAAGAAGAAGAAGAAGAAGAAGATAGAATCAAATATGATCATAAATGGTGCATTTTGTTGTTAACAAATGTTGGTATTTTAATGGCCAATTGGAGGACAATAAAGTATAATTCAACTGTTGCATATAAATTATGACACAATTATGTTTTTTGTTTTTGTGGGAGGTGGTGTTGAGAGCAGTTTTGCTATGGAGTCATTGGATGACTCGGCTTATAGTTTCGTCAACAGTGTATTGACACTTGTCCTACAATAAATATAATATGGACAGGTATCAGTATATTAAGTTGTGGATGGCTCTATAAGAAAACCATCCGATGACCAACAAGGGTTGACTCAAGTGGTAAACAGCTTGATGTCGCTTAAGCAAGGTCTCAGGTTCGAGTCTTTGTGGATGCAGAAAACCCTTGTTGGGAGATCACCCACTACTGCCAGGTGTGCGACCCGAGTCGACCATCGGATTAGTCGGGGCATAGCTCTGGATACCGTGGCTGACTACCAAAAAAAAAAAAAAACAACCATCCGATGACTCCATAAAATTTTTGGGGTTTGAGAGTATTTTGTATTTGTTTTGTTTTAAAAGAAAAAAAAATGATTTAAACTAGTGATTGACTTAGGGATTTTTATTTTTATTTTTCTTTTAGATTGAGAAAACAATGTTATTTGGAATGGTGTCACACGTTAATTAGGTCGGATTATTAAACATGAAATTAAATCTCATTTTTTGCCCGATTGAAAATTTGATTTATTCAAATCTAGCCATATAAAAGTCACGATCTTTCGATATTTGAAAACTGAAACACAGTCAAAAAAACGACTACCAAGATTTACGTGCCTGGCTTGTTATCTAATGTGGATGGTAAGAATAGCAGTCATAAAAAAAAAAAGGGCAATGCTATATGTACACCCCTTTTTAATAAATTACACAAAGGG